AAAGGAACATTTGCCAGTTTTTTCTCATTAATGATAAGAATATCGAACACAATGAAGCAAGGATGATGACCTTCATCTAAAAATGACAAGGACAAGAAATTCACATGTGATAACAGAAAATGCATGTAAGTTTTAGCCAACCTTACGTCATAAATCAAGCTGATCTTCATTACAAGACATTGTGTATTACAATGGTAATGTTACTCTTTAGATCAAACATTGGAAGGATATTTCTTTACCGTTTTCATAAGCGGTTAAGGATTTCACATCAACATTCATTCCCTTTGATCTAAAATGTATGAGGTAAATTCAAAATTTGGTTCGGGTTATGTATAGCATCTAGTCTTCCACTGAGTGATAATTGATAATAAATGATAGCAGAGAAAGGGAAAAGAAAGGAGAACAGGAAGAGAGAACAGCCAAGTGAGGGGGAAGTCAGGTTAGAAATAAGAAAAGGAGAGGAGAAAAAGGAAGGAGGTAAAGATAGAACAATGAAAGGATGGAAGAAAGTGAATGAAGAAGTAAGCAAAATACAAGTGAGAGAGAGAGGAAGACAAAGAGCAAAAAAAAGGAGTAACAATGAAAAGGATAAATGGAATCAAAATGAGGAACAAAATTATGGGAAGTTAAACTTACAGCCATGTGTCTGTCTTTGGATCAACAACAACCATTTCTCCATCCAGGATGCATGAATGTACAGAGCTACATGTTGAAAAACCAATTGACAGTACAGGGAATATTAGACTCTGCAATTATTTATTATTTACTCACACTTGAGTCGGACTCACAATGCAGCAACAGCATAAGACGTCTGATCTCCCCAAATTCTGACACTAGCATCCAGTTTTAGACACTATAGTCTAATTTTATACATTAGTGTCCCATTTTAGACACTACTGAACAATATTAAAGACTAGTATCTCATTCTGGACAGTCATATCTGATTTTAGACACTAGAGTCTGATTTTAGACAATAGTGTCTTATTCTGGACAGTAGTGTCTGATTTTGGAGACTAATTTGCAGTTTTAGACACTAGTGTTTGACATTTTAGACACTAACATGTGTTTATAGGCATCATTTCAGAGTTTGGAGACAGCTGATCTCTGCATGAAGAAACTTCTGTTAAATGTAGGTTTCACTGACAACTTGTCATAACTGGTACAGTATCAAGTTGCAGAGAACTTTCTAAAAAAAAGTGAGAGATTTGTAAACACCTTGAGAAGCAACCAGCGATGTGAGGTGTGAGAACTCCAGAGGATGGGTCCCCACCAAATACATGAGTGTATTCATTTGCACTGTAAATTAAATACAATTAATTAAATCAGTACATTTCAATTCTTTGGAAAAATGTAATATTATCAACTTAATCCTGTCTTTAAGATGGATCTTCTTTCATTGATAATACAATCAACTTTTGTGGCCCACTTTAACTCAACAAAGCTAAAATTTTACTTAATGTTATTTGATATTAATAAGTATTTTCTCACTCAGGAGCAGAAATGAGCAGCACTGTTGTTAACTAGCTCTATGCCCCAGGAGGAGTGATGGGCCTAGACAGATAGTATAGTTATTCAAACTGTTATATGGAAACCAGATAAAATGGGTGGGGATAACATTGGCACCCCACCCAGGAAGGAGTAGCAAAATTCCTGGTCACCTCATGTTACAGAAACGTAAACATGCTTCAAAATACATGCATGTCAGTCTACATACAGACTTCAACCTGGACTTGACGGTATATGTTAAATTAGGTCCTATACATTGAAAGCTTTTCAAGGGATTTGCAGACAGAAAAAAAAAAGTTGTTAAATTTAAACACTGGTACCTTCTTGAGAAGTACATAAAACTGTCTTTGTCTTTATGAAGCTGCATTCTCTCTCCATCTATTTTGGTTTCTATGTAAAATGACTGATTGTTCATTACCTTCTCCACCTGTGAGGAAATACAGTGAGGAGGAAAATCTTAGAACTTCAAGGTAGCAATCACAAATTCTACTTGGCTACCTCTAAGCAAAAAGGTGCTGGAGTTTCTTCACTTTTTAAATTGCTACTCCTTTTTGTTAGAAAATTATAATTACTATTTGACACTTACACACAAATTATAACAAGTACAATTAAAATATAATGCAATTAGATCATTAATATACAGCACAACACAACAAAATACGGATTTACTAGCCTCGTTGATGTGTTTTCTTTCAGCCAACATTGGTCGAAATGGTGAGAATAAAGACATCTCTGCTTCATTCATCCTAATACTGCGATCATGAAGATCCATGCAAACCTTTAATGCAATTTTCCATATTAAATGGTTAAATTCATCCTTTTAAATTTGAATTAACTAGAACTTTTGCCTTACAATGGCATTGTATATAGTGTAAAGAGGTTAGAGGTTAGAGTTTTGAGAGATTTAAATGACATTGGTCAATTGCATTAATTCAAGAAAAGAATGAAAAAAACTTAAAATCTTGGTTTTGGCAAGTTTGATAACTTATAATTGATTTTTACTAGTCCTTTGATGGGTAAAATAAAATCTACAAAATCTGAAATCCAGTGAAACTCAATACTAACACCTATTGTAAAAACACCACCTTCTGCCAATAGCAGTAAAATTAACTAATTCAAAATATTTTGTCAGACCTTGGGTAGACTGTTACAGACTCCAAACAGTTCCATTGCATCTGGATGATAAACATTAAATACAGAGTTCTCACTAAGGCCAATCTTCAATTCCTGGCAAATGCAATGATCACATAAAAAAATTTTACTAACAACTATTATAGTTTAAATTTAGATGATTGACCCTTTAACCCCTAAGAGTGACCAGCATCTAGTTTCTCCTCACAATAACACCCCTGAATCAAACACTAAGGTCATGAGAATAAAGGAAATGATCACACACTTAAGAATAATCTTGATTGTTAAACATATTCTCCCTACTGGCACCATAAGAAAAGTATCAAGAACAGTATGGAGAATATACTAAGTGCTAATGTTTGGGTGTAAAGGGTTAAGTTTTGGTCGTCATTATAATAAGCAGCATCTATATTTATGGCAGATAAAGCAAAACTAACCTTGAAAATTATCCTGATTAACCATTTCTGTAAGAGAAAATTAAGATGATCTCATCCACTAGAATATGACATTTATTAAGTATTTATAAAGAAAATATCTGGTAAATAATGCTGTAAAATGTTACAAAATAAAAAATCTACAGACCTGTTCCAGAGCACTTGTGTTACGTAGCAGTAGCTGTAGAGCTTTCTTAGCTTCATCACGTTTATGATCAATATTTGCTGAGGCCAGCTGGTCAAGGTACTTGTTTACTTGGTCAATCTTTAAACTGATTATTTCAAGATGTTCAACTCTTTAGTAACTAATAATGACTAAGGAAAAATTATGAACAATTTAAAACATCTACAGTATTCATCTGATTTTTTTTTCACCATCAATAAGCCATGATTTCAAACCCACCCTAAATTTGCAGGAAGCCTGTAGGTCTTCTATACAAACACATACATTCAAACATTTAACCTTGTAACTTCCAGAAAAATTAGTAACATGCAAAATTCCACTGCAATTCTGCCCACAGGTTGATAGGATAACCAAATTTATAGAGTGGAGAGGGTATTTATTATTGATTTTTATGATGTTGAACAGCTCAGGAACTTTATCCCATGCTCTTCAATGGTTACAACACAGAATAATAATTATATCAAACTAACATGTAAAAAAATAATTGTTTAATTAAATAACAAAAAAAAAACACTTTTGTCCAATCATTAGCTTAATTATAGTTTCCTGTGAAGTTTCCTGACAACTTTCAAATAAATTTGTCATAACATTTATTTGAGAACAAAATTATCATAACCAGTTTACAAGGAAATTTTCAGCATCTCAAGGGGAGGATTACTAAATCAGATCTGAGTAGATTTTGAAAGAGCTGAATGGCGTAAAAAGCATTTACCTTCCTTTCTCAGGACATCTGTTTCTTAAAACAAAGTAAGCAACACTTGCAAAGTCAGCCACAGAATCCTACAGTGAGGGGTAAATAAATAATTTTTCCTCTTCTGTTATAACTCTTGAGACGTCTATAATGTTTTTATCTTGGAAAAAGAGAGACCTGGGGCAGGCCACCAAGTTGTTGGACCCCAGGAGAGGAAGAAATCTGGGCCAAGTCATTGTAAAGTGCACTTGTGTAAGGGTGGGGCAGTTTGCCTTTAGGGTCATTCTCTGTAACCAGGTGTATAAGTAGGTAGAAGCAGACTTTCAAGGAAACTTGAAAAATTATTTGAGGGCAAGAGGGTTATTTCTGGTAGACAGTGGCAACCTATCCAAGAAGAGTTAAGATTATCCTTATATTTTCATCACTACAGAAATATTATTTGCTTTGAGAAAGGAGCACAAAGCAGAGAGGAAGTATTGACTCAGGAAGACTGGGTTCCACTTTGGTCAGGTCATTATCAGATTAGTTGTGTAAGTGAGTATTAGTTAAGTAAGAAACTTTATTTGTCAAATACCTCTTGTAAAGTTCATAATAACTAGGACATTTTTGAAAAAATGTTAGGAGACTAATTTTTTATTGGGCTAAACCATTAAATCCTACAGTGCCTTTCTCTTAATAAGTGTTGTACCTGTTTGGCATTTTTGGGTGCTCTGTAATTCAGCAGTTTACGGCCATCTGTAGAGTCTTTCCCTATACTTAATATTTCAATGTAATATTTTGCAAGAACCACCTGAGAATGAAAGAAAAAAAAATTATACAAATAGTTTTCAAATAATTCTTTCAAAGAATTCAAAGCTCTATCAAGCTTACGGATTATTGCAAAAAGGAAAGATTTTTCATGAAATCAACAGTATACCCATACTAATAAATAAATTTAACTATTATCAATACAGGATAAAAATCAAATATATGCAAACCTCCTTCATCCCATAAGCACCTCGTTCTTTGTCAAGATGAGGCAGCAACAGGCGCATACCAGAGTGAAATGAGTCAGTCTGCGACAGAAAGGAAATATCAATCAATTGTAAGAACTAACTGTTGATGAGACAAAGGGAACTGCTTTTCCCCCAACCCCCATATTAGGTTTCTATTACCCTTCTCTGGGTAGGGAGGGGTGGTTGGAAGAGTTTGGATCAGAGAGTTTCATCATAACAGTCTCTGAGCTAGGTGATACGTCCCAAAATTCTTCTCATCTGTTTGTTGCAATTGGGTAATGCATATCTTCATTGTAAAGAGAAGTTACATGCTTCATACAAGGCACAATAGCAATCAAAGGCATTTAAGAAAACAAACGTCCCTCTCGCAAAAGGAAATTTATTCTTGAATAGCAATCAAGAATTTCAGATTTAACAGCAAGCCATCAATGCAACATATATACTCAGCTGTTTTCGAAGTTCCATGCAACTTAGCGTGCGCTTCTCTCCATGAATTGACAAAGAATTCCAAGATCTTTTTCTTCTTTTCAGTTCCTGTTGTGCTTGCAATCTTTTCTAACAAAGCACACAAATCATAAAATGGAACCTGAGTTGCTACTTCTACTGTTGAAACTCCCGCCATTTTTATCGTAATAAAACACAAACACTTTCTCAACCATCCGCCATCTTGGAATCGGAGTGGTGTATAGTCTGGGAACTAGTTATCTCCGGAGGAGTCATGGGATATCCTAAAATTACGCCTTGTTGTTTTGGCCCGCCTCCGGCAAAGTTTTGTTTTCTACAGAAATAGTGTTAGATATCCGCCTGAAAAAAGCAACACAACACGTTTAAAAAAAGTAATCTTAACACATTCCGCGAAAAAATACAGCTAAACGTCACCTTGAAGACTTGTAGATTTATTAAGGACAGAGTTCGATGCTCATTTCGTTGGAAAATGAGCCGTGGAATTTGTCATTGGGGTCCACTATTAGCGTTATCAATCATATGGACTCTTTTTCTTTGTGGAATTTATTGCATACTGCTATGGTACCCTCCTTGGACTTCAGCAGCAAGCGTGATACACTTAATATTTTATGTTTCATGGATGATTCTTATCATGAATTACTTTATTAAATCAGTTACTCTTGGACCTGGATATCTTCCACTAGAATGGAGACCGGTGAGCAGTGTTAATTAAGATGGTTTTCGACATACTACTCGCGTTTGCATTTAGCATGTTTATTTTCTTTCCACTAGTCTTGAATTGTATCTTTCTTTGAGAAATACTGAGACTTGTGAGAATTGTAGAGAGTCAATCCAATCTTTCAAGGAACCTGGAAAATGTTTTTCAACAGTATTAATGTTAATGAAAGGGCTATAAAGACCCCTGTCAAGTTGTCTTGGTCAACTAACTTTGCATGACAGGTGGCAACTTTTCGTGCTTACTAAACTATGCACAGGGCAGTGCCCCAGACCAGCAACTTTTTAATCAAATCCCAAATGGCAAGCTAGATTTTAAAAACCAAGTGGTTAGAAAATGTATAATTTAATACAGTGGACATCTTGTATTTAGGTGTAGAAAAAGCAAGGAGTCCATGGTTTTAAATGTACAAGTAGTCAGCAGGATCTTTGTGATGCCCTTTTTGTAATCTACACTTTTGTAGGATGATGATAAAAGTGAAGCACTGTTGCAGTACTGTTGTCTGTGCAAAGGTTACAAGGCACCCAGGGCACATCACTGTAGCAAATGTGGACGGTAATTATGTGTGGATTAGTTTGCATGTTAGCAACATTTTTATTTGTGAAATGAAGTGGACCTTTTCACTGCCAGGGTCTCGGAATCAGAGCTCCTCTTTGTTTTATACATTTTTCTTGATATTGTTTTCTATAAATTTGTTGTTTAATTAAACCCAACTTACTGATATTTTTTCTTTCTCATCACCTTTCCATTTGAGAATGTGTTGAAGTTGTAAGGAGAAATTCCTTTTTGGTCATTCAATTCACAAAATAATATGGCCCTCGTAGCATCCACAGTTAATCCCAATTGGGAAATGAAGAAATATTGCAGCTGTTCGTTAGATATTAAGCTGACCTATCACAAGGTGCAACAATGTACCCCCTTCTCCTCCCCTCACCTCCCACTTTCCCTGCCTTTCCTCTCCCCCTCCCCCTCCCTCTCCCAACATTTTGTTAGGTTTCTTTGATAGTATGCTACAATGTGGTGAAACAAACCAGGATCTAGACCTGGTGCACATTTCTTAAAAGACTCAAAAACTTCACAGGTCTACTTATGGCCCAAAAAAAGTTAATGGGCATTTCTCAGAGCACACAGAAATTTTGGGCCCTAGAAATAAATACACATTTGACTATTCATTCTCTGTCCACCAGTTCTTAGAAATCAGTTGCAGATTTAATTTCCTTGACAGGTGTGTCATGAAAATGGATCATCACTGTCCATGGATCAATAATTGTGTGGGTCACTTCAATCATAGAGCCTTTACGCTGTTTCTATTTTTTGTTCCCATTGGGTGTACACATGCAGCTGTGGTTTTTATATGTTGCACTGTGCAGCAGTTTCATTTGGTTAGTTGGTGTTGTTTTTATTTTTTTGCTTTTTATGGGCCTCTACTTTGTCTTGATCTATCAAAGTGTAAAAACAGAAGCCTTACAATTGGTCACTAACATTTTTACTCCTTTTTTTCTTACCCTAGCTTTCCACAGGACCCTATAGACGAGCTATCTTCCAGCGAAATGCTGTTGTTTCATTTACAGTCTATCGCATGATTATGGTGTTGTTTTGTATTGGTTTGTCAATTGGTGTTACTGTAGCTGTCGGCATTCTTCTGTATTACCAGGTATAAGTTGTTGCGATAAGAAACTTTTATACTCATTTTCACTTGGATAGAACCTTTTTGCAATTTTGTTTTTATCTTTTAGATGAAAGGAATATTAACAAACAAGACAGCAATAGAAGGATGGATTGCAGAAAAGGTTTTTGGCATGTTTGTTTTCCATTCTTAATTATTGCAAAACATATCATTATATGATCATATCTTACCTATCCATGTATACATCATGTAAATACTCCCATTATATTGGAATAAATGAAGGCTGGTTAGGGTAGACACTTCTGAACTTAATATGGTGTTACTGCTGTTTAATTTGACAGGCTGACAGATATCGGCCCAATGGAGAATCTTTCAGATATCCTTACAATCTTGGCCGGAAAGAAAATTTTAAACAGGTAATGTGAACTTTAAGAATCGATGTTAGCATCTGCAAAACTGTGCACCCATCCCTCCCCTAGCCCAGCATTAAGCCTAGGTTGTTATCAGTTGACTATTGTTGGGTTAAGGGTGGGGTAGGTGCACAGTTGCTTAGGTACTTGTGTTGTCCAACATTTTTATATTTTTACTTGATGGCGACTTAACTGTGAGTGACCAAGACAGAATTTCTCTTAACAATATCAATACAGTATCAACCAGATAAGTGATGAGATTAACATTATAGTAATCATATGGTTGACAGTAAGGAGAATTACAAATTTAGTCTTCTACTTCTACTTCTAGAGGGTTAAAGTTAAGCCTGATTCTCAGATGATCTGAGCTGGTTAACTTCAACAAGATGAGGTTGTGGAATAGAGCAACCACTGGCTGTCTGAGAATCAGACTACTTTAATTTCTAATTGTGACAGTTTTGAATTTTTTTCATTCTGTGTAGGACAGTTGTTATTGTGCAATTTCCTGATTATCTGTTTAAAAATACTTTTAGGTGATAACATTATGGCAAGATTATGTTGGAGATGGAATAACATGGCCTGTTGTTGAAGGATGTGATCAGTTTACGCTGACGGTATAGGAAATGAACTGAGATCTCTGTATTTTTCCTGTTGCTTAATGTTTGACCCTCAGACTGTAACTGTTACTTTATAGTTAGGACTAATTACTTCAACTCAATTTGTCAAAATCTGGTAATTTTTGTAGTTCTTCATTTCATTTTCTTTTTCTTCCCATTTTAGAAGGAACAGTTGGAGCAGAAGAAATTGAAAAGAGAAAGAACAGTGAGTTAAAAAATCAAATAAATATATGTACCTCGTGTAAAGGGAACTCAACAGGAATTAAATTTCATCCCAGCCTATACAAGTTTAAGGTTCTGATGTGATATTTTTCTAACCCACATTTTCCATCCTTCAGATTTGTTGTAGAGTAGTAAAATCTTATAATGGAAGTGTTATTGCCTGGCGAGAGGGTCTGAGAACATGTATATCCACTCCATGGACAGACGAACCTCGCATAAAAGTGGAACAGGGAGATGTTATTTTGGTCACTCGCTGGAGAAAGTATGTTTTTATTTTTGTATATATGTCAATATATTTGTTAGTTTCTTTTCTTCTGCTCCATTTGTGCTTCAGCTCCCTTTCTTTTTTTTCATTTTCTTGTTCAATTGTTTCTCATTCTTCAGTTCTCTATTTCTCCATTACACTGTCCTTTCTTACTTACATTGTTCTGTGTTTGCTTTGTTTCCATACTCTGTTCTTCAGATCCTTAATTTCTACTTTCTTCTTTTTCTTTCATTATTTGTTTCGTTCTTATCTCTGTGCCTCAGTTCCAGTGTTTTCTCCTCCTTCCATTCTTCTGGTCTCCCTTTGCTTTGTTTCCAAACTCTGTTCTTCAGATCCCCCTTCATTTCTACTTTCTTCTTTTTCCTGTTTCATCATTTGTTTTGTTCTTATTTGTTCCATTCCCATATCTCTGTGCCTTAGTTCCAGTGTTTTCTCCTCCTTTCACTCTCCTGGTCTCCTGTTGTTTGCTTTGTTTCCAAACTCTCTTCTTCAGATCCCCCCTTCAGTTCTACTTTCTTCTTTTTCCTGTTTCATCATTTGTTTTGTTCTCATTTGTTCCATTCCCATATCTCTGTGCCTCAGTTCTAGTGTTTTCTCCTCCTCTCACTCTCCTGGTCTCCTATTCTCACTTTTATTATCTCACCCTTCCTTCTTTCCTATCAGCATCCTTTCTGTCTTTCACACTTTGCTTGTATCATGTCTTCTTTTCCTTCTTAGCTGTATGTTGTTGTTGCATTTAATGATCATCTCATCACAACTCTTTGTTGGAATGTGAGACTATTTCATTGTTCTATGATTTCTCACACTGTTCCTCTTGTTCTTTTGTTGTCAGGTGGTGGCTGTATGGTGAAAAGTCTCTTCATAAGTTATCAGCCACTGGTGAGTCTATGAGACAAAAATTAAATGTTCTTTAGGCCTATGCAAAGAAGTAAAAAGTAAAATATCCCAACATTTGCACAGCAACCTAATGTAGGAAAACTATTATAACCAAAGCATTTTGTTTTTTTTTTTGTTTTTTTTTTTTTGGGGGGGGGGGGGGGGGTAATAGGATACTGGTGCTGCGTCGGTGCTGAAGTATAACAAGATCATTTGGTTTTATCAACTGAGTTAATAACATAATTTGGCCACCATAAAGAGTTTCAAAGCTGACACTGAGCATTAGCCCTTCATCAGAGTGAATAGTTTTGATTTTTTTTTTCTTTTATGATGGAATCATTTGGTTGTAAGTGCATTTTAGCCAATCACAAGATGTCAGAATATTATGCAGAGCCATTCAGGTTGCTGTTGTAATATTCACTTCAATTGGCAGCAGAATTCCAAAAAATCTATTTCCTGGAGACAGAAGTTTCACTGTAATTGAATTTGAACAGTACAAACTAGATGAGTTGAAAGCAAGGCATTGTTTATTCATGTTTTTTGTTGTTGTTTTTTTTTTAAATTTAATTTAACAGAAATTACAGATGAAGTTCTGAGCAAAGAAAAAGGCTGGTTTCCTCGACATTGTGTTGTGAGAATAGACGAGGAAGAGTCAGCTTCCAAGAAGGATGATTAATGTGTCTGTTGCCATTATATTTGTGGACATCTATTTCTCTTCTGTTCAGGCTATTCTTTTCCAAATGCTGTAGAATAACGTTATCAGCTTTTAATGTTGGTTGGATTTATATCAAAATGATGTCTTTGAGTAAATAAACCTAAAGGACAAGCTATTGTCAATGTCACATTTTCTTTCAATTTAAAGCCAACAGTTGTTCAAGCGTTACACTGGGCTTGTGTTGGTTTTCTAGTTATTTGTACCTTGTTTTGATAATCTCACCAACCACAAAAAAAACTGAACTTACTGTAAGTATTTCCTTACCTTTAATCTATTCCTGCTTCATTTTATTATGTGGTCATCAGTGGAAATGATAGTATTTTCTTTTTTCTAAGATCCTTTGCACTCCTTGCGGGCCTATGTGATTTTGGACTGTACAAACGCAATATATTCCGATCCACCTTGAGAAAATTAATATTCGTGAAGATGTTCTACGCACCTTGGGGGGGCTAAGCTGTGGTGTGGAACCTCCCATGGGACAAATCTTGTGTCTATTTCTTCCATGTTAACTGCTTAGCCTGGCCTCAAAATACGTCGAGGAAGTTTTTGAAAAAAGGAATTGAAAATATAGGTTTGCATATCCAGGCCTCTTTCAGTGTTCCCAGTGTGTTAAGTAGTGATAGGGCATTCAGCCAGAACTTTTTCGGATTTGTTTTGTTCGATTTGCGTACTTGAAGATTAGATTTCCTTGAAACCTTGTAATCTTTTTATCTGCTTATCTTCGCGTGTTGGCATCG